CGTTGCGTTGCGTATCGCGCTGCGTAAACATAAAACCATGTCTGCATTTGTGATCGGAGAAACGACAAATATCAAGTGCTACTCTACACTGCTCAAAACTCGCGTTTGAATCATCAGTGGCAAATTCTTTAAATATGAAAATGTACTTACAGGCTGTGAGTCAGAAGTGCCAGACTGTCCTTGCAAAGTTGGAACTGCCCCACTTTATAGAAACAGCCTTTGTGCACAGACGCATTGTAGGCTACTCTCCCAGTTTCAGGAAACAGTCCTATGTAAAATGCGCTGCACACATCTGAATATTTGGGTTGAACTGTTCTGGAACAGTGTTGTAAATACAACTTAACCACTGATTTCTAGTTGTGTCCTCTTTTGGAAGACCAAACAAAGTAGTTTCGCTTTCACAACGAAACACACAGCGTCTTCACAACATGGCGGCGGCGGTGGCAGCAACAATAAAGTTACGCCTTCTTTCTTTGCGTGAACATTTGGGCGGCGTTATGCGAATCTTCGCACATCGTGACGTGGACATGTGGGGGCGTGTTAGAACGAGGCGTTTTAGGAGGGCATGGACGAGTCACCACTTTTATAAAGAATATCTCTTTGGGTTTGAGACTGTAGTCTTTGCAACTTTAGGGATCTTATCTATTCACGAACAGCTTGTAACACTCCAAAGAGAAAGGAGAACTTGAAATCGCATCATATGACCCCTTTAAATTGAAATATTATTTCAGAATATTACGGTTTTTACTGTATTTTTTATTAAATAAAAGCTGCCTTGGAGAGCATAAGGGACTTTTTTTCAAAAACAAAAACTTTTGAACTAGGGCTGCACAATTAATTGAATTTCTAATCGCGATTACAATTACGGATGCCACAATTATACGTAATCGTTCAAAGTTCACTTATGTTATTCTGCATGCTTTAAATGTGTTTTTTTTCTTTCTGCAGGTTAACTTAAGGGTTTTCCCATTGTTTTAATTTACTTTATTTATTTAAAGAAGAAACCAATCCAATGTATAGTTGACATACATATAGAAAAGCAATAAAGTTTTTCAGTGTTTTCAGCTTGTTTATGTTTATATAAAAATATGGCATGCAGTTGCTTCAAACTGTTATAAACATCATTTAGTGTAAATTGTGATAATCGTAATTAATAATCGCAATTACAATTTCAAGGAAATAATCGACAATTATAATTTTTGATAATCGTGCAGCCCTATTTTGAATGGTGTATATATAACAAACATCTTATTAGTTATGAGTTTAGATAACCTTGTGAGAAGCAGATGAGATGGACACCATCTTCAGCACTCTCCATGATGGGTCTGATAGCCTCTCTGAATCCATCTACCTGTTGCCACAGTGGCTTCAAACTGGCAGTGTAGTCATACAGGGCTAGTGTGGTCACATTGGTACCTGGATGAGACTAAAACACAGTGGAACAGAGAAGTTGGTGAGTTTCATCCTTGATAAAAAAGGAGAACTATGTGCCAAAAACTGTAAGATGGAACTGAAACAACTTTAAAAAAAAATGTTATGCAATTAAAAATTTGGTTGCTTAGAACTTAGATTATGATTTAAAAAACTTAGATAGAAGGTGTGCTTTTTCTGAATTTTACAAAGTTTTTGACCCCTAAACTTGCTTATTTAAAAACGTAGGTAAGGGTGAAAAACTAAATAACTACAGAAACCCAAAAACAAAACAAAAAAACAAACAAAAAACACACCTTTTTAAAATCACAATATAAAGTACATTAAAATATAATTTAAAAATACAAATAGAAGTGCATTAGTTATTTTACTTAAATTAAATATACTTACATATAAAACAATAATAAAAAATAACGTTGCTAAATAGATAAATAAGATGATCTTACCTGATTGATAAATTTAGCCAAAATTTCAAACTGTCTGGGTCCATCTAATATCCCGTGAACAATAATTACTGGTCTGTATCCCATGACAGAGGACAGCAGAAATACAGCCCATATAAGAACACATGGTCTGCAGCCATCAGTCATCAATCCCCCCATAGAGGCACTCCGACAATAGCTCTCAATAATCTATAAACTGAAACCAAATGTTTTTTCCAATAATTTTTTAAATCAAAATTATAGCTACCAAGCAGACTAGTCTAACGGTGGTAAGACCTGTCAAAAAGTTTGAGCCTCTATCGAGACGTTTATAACTGGTAAGTTGTTCCTCATGTGATGTTTTGTCACAGTTGAGGTGATACTTTTATAGACCGCTTCCTCTCACACACCAGTTGATGTGGTTTATCGGTAGAAATGCAAGCATTTCACATTGTTTACACACACACACACACACACACACGATTATATTTTAAAATAAAAAGGGAGTATTAAATACAAATACAACTATTTTATAGTAAACTTAAAAATAAAATGCTAATATTTACTTCTTTTTTTAAAGATGAATTTTCATCATTTTCAAACTTAAAATCAGCAGGCTTTTATTTTGGCGGGTTGCCGGCAAGTAAGTATATGCGCTTCCGGGTTTAGCACCGCCCTGCCGACTGAAGCGCATCAGTATGAAATGTCACTGTTTTGCATTGTGCTTTGAAAACGGCATCTGGTAGCCTAGATTTATGCTTTCAGTTTGAATAGAAATCTTATACAGTATTACAGTTTGTCGATCTAAAATGGTAATTGTGCATTAACAGCTGTAAACCATGTCGGTAAGCAAATGCGCTGTCAGAGCTTATTTACACAGCGCATTTTTTATTTTGGTCTGCATACCACTTATCTGCACCCCTGTGTGTGTGTATATATATATATATATATATATAAACAATGTGAAATGTGAATTTCTTTTCTTGAATGCTAGTTATATCAAGTGATACAAGAGTTCCTACAAAGACCTCAACAGTTTTTAACTTTCTGAGCACTACATCTATTATTGAAAGCTACCCGTCACTGATTAGACTAAAATACCGTTTCTTTAGAATTCTTTAGAAAATATAGGCTACATAAAAATCTTAAGATTTTTTTCTATTTTTTACATGAATTATGTCTTATTTAGGCATATTACGCTTTCGTTTTAATATGAAGTGCATGCGAGATGCGACACGTCCACCGGAAAATATAATGATTCGTATTGTAAGCATAACACATCTGGTGCTCTTAACGCTTTAAATCTGGACTTGTATTTTGACAGGAATCAAATATGTGCCGCCAACGATACAGATTCAAATATCAGGGTTCAGTGGAAACGGTTCTACACAAAAAGGTGTAAACGCTACAGTCTGTTGTCTCCGAGCATTGGTGCCTGAAATACAAAAAATCCATTTGTAGTTTTTAGATTAGATATGTTGTCATATTTTCCACAGGTGGGCTACAGCATCCGTTTTGAGGACTGTACGTCAGAACACACCATCCTGAAGTACATGACTGATGGCATGTTACTCAGAGAGTTTCTTACAGAGCCCGACCTCGCCAGCTACAGGTAAAAACTTACCCTACAGAATTTTTATTTTAATATTAGCATTTTAAAATTTGATCTTTTGATTTTATGCGATAGGGAAGCTTACCTTACAGAATTAATATTTTTTGACATTTTTAATAATATGACTGCCATCATTGCTTTCATGATTGCTTTCTCTTTTTAATTGGCTGTTTTTCTGTGATCAGTGTGATCAGCATCGATGAGGCCCACGAGCGAACGTTACACACAGACATCCTCTTCGGTCTAATCAAAGACATTGCACGTTTCCGCCCTGACCTGAAGGTTCTGGTGGCCAGCGCCACTCTGGACACAGGAACGCTTCTCTTGCTTCTTTGACGATGCACCCGTATTTAGGATTCCAGGTCGTAGGTTTCCTGTGGACATCTACTACACAAAGGTATTGGACTGTGATTAAAGCACAAGACATTCAGTTTGTCATATAATGACATGTATATTAGGGGTGTAATGTAATGTATTGTATATTTCATTGTGCATGGTTATTTTTATATTTAGATGAACTCTAATCCTCACTTAAAGTTAAGCTTTAAAAAAAGATTAATTTAATAACACTGTTAAATTTAATCTTTAACAAATGAATTGCATTTTTGTGTACTTTTCATTTAATGTTGTGATGCCTAAATTCACTTTAAGCATTTAAAATGATTTTAGGTTTTAATGTTTTATTAATAATTTATTTAGACTAAATAGTATAGAATTGTAATATTAGCCATTTGTCGGTTATTAGTCATAACATGAAAATAATTATCGCCGCCTCAGTGTAAGAATCCAATTTAGTGATTTCTCTGATCATTTGATCCTTCATTCGTACATTGCATAATGCATATTGTTAATATCATTTGTATTTTGGTTCAGGCTCTGGAGGCTGACTACCTAGAAGCATGTGCTGTGTCAGTGCTACAGATCCATGTCACTCAGCCGGCTGGAGACGTACTGGTCTTCCTCACTGGACAGGTCAGTCCTTGACACTCAGTTTATTCATAGTTCATATTGCCCTTGTGGACGGACTATCTATCAATGCATACATCTATTAAGAGAAGCTGTGCTGTGTCACGGCATAACAGAAAAAAGATTTCTCCCAATACATCATCATCAATTTTTCCCGCAGTCACCTCTGACTACTTGATTGTAACAACATTCATTTTCTATAAAGCTGCTTTGAAAGGATATGTATTGTGAAAAGTGCAATACAAATAAACGTAAAATGAAAAAAAAAGTAGCTAATTATTATATTATTATACATATTTTAATTTTTACATTTTATATTATGTAATATATATATATATATATATATATACAAGGATGTCAGAGGTACTAGTACTTCAGTACCACATCAGCACTAGAATTATATTGGTGCTGCAGCGCTACTAACAAACATATTAACTGCATTGAAGCTATTTAAGGGGGTCATTTTATTTTTAAACTATAATATATTATGATATGATTTTATAATGTATACATTTATGTGTGAGGGAACATACATTTACACTAAATACAAGCTTGCGTCACCCTGCATCTCTTTCCTGTCTCTTTCCACTGTTTATCGATAAAGGCATAAAAAGCACTAATGTAAAATAAAAATAAAAAACTTAGCTTGTCAAGATGGAAAAGCCGTGATGAGCCAGAAAGATTTATTGTTCTGGTATTTGTGTATTATGTATATCGGTACAGTTTGTGGATCATCAATAGTGTAGATGATATTTATATTCGTAATACTGACGTTTACTGTGTCCTCTGGTGTTGCAGGAGGAGATTAGCAATAGCAGTATTTAGCAAACATTTGTGACAATTTAACGCTTTCACTCTGCTGATCCTTATTGTATTTGTGTTATACAAATAGTTTAGTGGGGTTTTTTTAAAGAATATTTCTGCATTTTTGGGGCAAAAAGTTGTTGACCTTGCATTCAGTTCAACATTTCAATTAGACCTCATGTGGAAACCGTGATACGTTTTCTTTTCAGTATTCTTTGATGAACAGATATTTCAAAAGAACAGCATTTATTTAAAAATGGGAATATTTTATAACATTATAAATGTCTTTACAATCACTTTATTTTAATGTATCCTTGCTGAATAAAAGTATTCATAGAAATTAATATATAATTGATCAAGAAATGTTACCCCAAACTTTTAAATTGTAGAACACGTCTATTAAAATGATCTCAGGACTAGTAGGTTAAAATGACTCATATTGAAATTCTCTGATAGATATTTACTTAGACAATGTAAGGTATGGCTTATGTGTCCAAATACTTATTAGGTCATTCCACTGAGTTTGTAGTGTATTTTTATTATGACAAACAATGTCAATTTTGGGGTGTGGTATTTAGAAACTGTAACTTTAATGCATACATAAATAGACCTGACACACTTATTCACTCCCTATAATCAAACACATTATGTATATTAATATGTGCTTAAGATCTAACATGTATTTCCTGATCTGTGAACGACCTGATTCATTTCGACTTCATGGATCCTCCTCCTCACGAAACGCTGGAGCAGCTTTACGCCTTGGGTGCCCTTAACCACCTCGGTGAACTTACTAAGGTGCGAATTTTTAAAAAAAATAACTTTATAACCCTATAATTATGCTACATTAGAATACATTTGTTTTTTAAGCCCTCATAAACTTTGGTAAACTCAGTTGTGTTCACAACTCATTTACAAGGAGGTTTACGACAAAAAGCTGGGTGTCAATAAGGCCTCTGGACCCGGCAATGAACTATAAATAATTCCATTCATGAATATTCCTTATGGAAGTATACCAATATTTAGCTCTTGGTTATTTACTTAATTTTGTTCCTCTTGCACTGTAGCTTGGCCGAAGGATGGCTGAACTTCCTGTGGACCCCATGCTGAGTAAAATGATTCTGGCTTCTGAACAGTGAGTCTAAACTGCAAAGAAACAATCATTAAACCATCATTTTCAAGCTTATATGCAATTTTTGTTATTTACTCATCACTGATTACCTTTTACCTGGTGTTGTTACTGTGATGTTTTGAAGTCTGTTCATTGGTCTGTCTTTCAGTTATAAGTGCTCTGAGGAGATTCTGACCATTGGCCATGCTGCGGCCATGCTGTCAGTGAACAACTCCATCTTCTACCGGCCCAAGGACAAAGTGGTTCATGCCGACAATGCTCGAATGAACTTTGTGGTACCAGGAGGAGATCACATTGTGCTGCTCATTGTATATACACAGGTGTGTTTATGTGTGCACTTGGAAATATCACTCAAAGCAGCAATCATTCTGACATCTGAGGCTTTGCACACTTTTACGACCCGGTAGTTGTGCTAACAGAAATGATTTGTTATTGTCAGAATACTCATCATGTCTAGCGTGACTTCCTTATGGGAGATGTGCAGCAGTTGGATTGCTGAGCAGGTTATTCAGGCCTGTGCGGACGTGTGTGTTTATGTGTAGATGCTTTAGCCGGAAGTTCTTGTCTTGTACAATGTTTTGTAAGAAGGACTATTCAAACAGCAGAAACATTGTGTTAAAAAATATATTTTTGGCAGCGTTTGGCACCTAAAATAAAGCATTTAGAAGTCTTTTTTGGTTACTAAACTTCAATAACAAAAGTGCTCAATAATTTAAGTTATAAAGCAGGCTGTATTTAGTAAACGTTCATTACAGTAATGCTTTCACTCTTCTGATCTTGTTTTTTTGGGGGGGAAAAAAAGTCAAATGGTCTTATAGTCCCAAAGAAAGTTTTTCTTACAGTCAATTCAACCTTTCAACTGGACCCATTATGCATATTTTTTGTACATTTTTCAATTAGTTTTTTTCTACCTTACTTTTTATTATTTATTTTTTAACAAAACAATGTGAATATGTATCTTTAATTGCACATTAATTCACAATTTTTTTGTTTGCAGAAACTTTAATTCACATGAACAACCATTTATAAAATGCTCTCACAAACCTAAAGTATAAATCACAGTAATGTTCATAAGAGTCATTTGTTTGTGAATCAGACTTCACTGCTTGCGGTGTGTTTGTTGTTGCATGCACAACACACACAGTTATTGTATTCATTAGTATTCAGTGGTGTCTTTCTTTGTTTGTGGGTAGAGAGTGGTTCCCCATTCAGATTGAATTGGACATAACCAAATAATGTTCATAAGAGTCATTTGTTTGTGAATCAGACTTCACTGCTTGCGGGTGTGTTTGTTGTTGCATGCACATCACACACAGTTATTGTATTCATTAGTATTCAGTGGTGTCTTTCTCTGTTTGTGGGTAGAGAGTGGTTCCCCATTCAGATTGAATTGGACATAACAACAGAGAGTGGTTCCCCATCACAAACCTAAAGTATAAATCACAGTAATGTTCATAAGAGTCATTTGTTTGTGAATCAGACTTCACTGCTTGCGGGTGTGTTTGTTGTTGCATGCACATCACACACAGTTATTGTATTCATTAGTATTCAGTGGTGTCTTTCTCTGTTTGTGGGTAGAGAGTGGTTCCCCATTCAGATTGAATTGGACATAACCAAATAATGATTCACAAATCAGTTATGGAGCCAGTTGTAAACTGATATTAAATTCTCTGAACGTTTCACTGCCTGAGTCTGATTTAAAACATTAACTCACACGCGAGTTACCCGAGTCTTTCTCCTTCACTCTTTCTCTTGATTGGTTAGAGAGTGGCTTAGGGCTGTCAAAATGACTGAAAAACTAAATTCGAATTTGCTACTTAAATATTATCAAAATTCAAATTATATTTGAATTTAAAAGGCATAATTTCAGTTAGGGGGAAAAAAGCTTTTGACTTCTCTCCTGAGGCCACAAGAGGGTGCATCGAGCAAAATATTATGCACATTTCTTCAAAGCGTAATAAAATAAAACGACTATCTTTGAAAAAAAGTGCATAATGTTTAAAATAATGTTTATAAACCATATTTAAATAATAAAGTTGCTTAAGCAATTAGAAAGAAAAAAAAAACAGCACAATGCATGTATGTATAGTTTAATACAAAGGACCGAAAACCAATCACATAGAGTAGGCTACTTTCTTCATTTAAAAACATGAGATACAGTGGGATGGGGAAAAACCGCCATAACGTCTTT